ACTGTTGCACTGTTGTAGCTTCAGTGGTTCTCAGGTTACAGTTACATAGCAGTGAATATAAACAGACTGATTAATGTGAATATTACTGTAAACTAACCTGTGTAAAAGTTTCTCGAATACATGTAATTGTTTTGGTGGAAGAAGCATTTATCATTTTTTTACACTGCCCCTCAAAGAATCGGAATTGAGAACCGTTAAGAACCGGAATCGAAAAGTAGAATCGGAATCGGAATCAGAATCGTGGAAATTCAAACAATACCCAACCCTAGTTGTATATGTCTTAAGTGTAATTTGACTTGGCTTCCTATTTATGGACATGTTTTTATTTTTGAAGGAGAGGTAGCGCTGTTGACAGGAAGTTGTTGTTGCTTTGGAAACAACGTGACGGAGATTAACGGAGAAATGTAATATCTACATATAAAGACGGAGAAAGTAAACGATAACGTTTATGGTTAAGTGTTAGCACCCCCCGAAGAGGCACAAGCTCTGACGTTGATATTGGAGATTTCAATAAATTCAATTTGGAAAAAAAACGGGGGAAAAAATGAAAAAACAAACAAAACGAATTTCCGAATAACGAAATTGAAACCCGAATAGTACTCCAACGAACGGATATTCGGATATTCGGGTACAGCCCTAGTGTACTCGCCGTGTTGTTGTTGGTGGTGTTTGTTTCTCAGGTGGCGTATCAGATTGGTCTTGTTGAACGTAGCTCTGTTCTTTCCACCACGCGGAACCTCCTTCTTGCAAACATTGCATCTGGCTGTTACACTTCCTTCGCTTTCAATTTTATAATACTTCCAAACTCCTGACATTTTCTCTGTCCCGACTCCCGAGTCACCAGCTGAACGTAGCCTCTCGTTAGCTTACTGCTACTATTAGACACTGCACCCTGCCCACTCTATTGCCAGATTTGAGAGAAATAAGCAACCAGGTCTGAAAACAAGCCCAAAAGAAGCAACACATACATGATGTTGTGTAATTTTAAACCAAAACTAAGGCCTCAGGATGACTTTAAGACGTGAACATGGTCATTTTAGTTTTGTAAAAAAAAAAAGGATTCCCGATCCCCGATCTTTTTCTCCTGATTCCGATCTTTTAAAAATCACGTGATCGGCTCCAATCCCCGATCACATCGGGACATCTCTATAGTCAAGTATATTAATAAATATCATTTTATAATGGGACAAGTACTTTTACTTTTGTACAATAAGTATAATTTGATTCCAATACTTTTTAGATTTCTACTCAACTAAGATTTTGTATGCAGGATTTTTACTTGAAACAACGTTTTTACACTGTAGTATTTCTACTTGTTCTATATTGTAGGGCCATACCTATATAAACATGTCTGTGAAGTTTTTTTTTCAAAATACCAAACAGATCAGGCATTTTAGCCACCCCTCATTTCGCTCTATTTGCTCTATTCCAGCCCTGTTTTTGCAAGGGCTGATTCTGTGATGTAGCTTTAATGCAAATGAGCTGCAGCTGACCACGCCCCCCTGCAGGAGAGGGGGGCGTGCTCAGAGATCAGCTGCTGGGCTCTCAGAAGAGGGGGAGGAAAAGAGAGGCTCCGTTTTTTATTGTTATATTATTATATTGAGTCGTTATTCATTTGTTTTAAAGCTCAATAAATAACAAAGGGCCGGCACTTTTGTCCGGAAGATTTAAACTTTAATACTGCATTTTAACAGTGTTAACACGTTTCTCCATGACTCCATATCACAATCCACTGTGGAGGTGATAGTGAGCAGTTTGCACCATCCTCAAAAAGTAGGACATGTTAAATGCTGACAGGGGACTCACTTGCCAAATGCAGATTATTTCTATAGTTTCGTGATTTGTTTGAAATCACATGTTCGTGCTTTAAATAACATGCTTTCATATGGAGTTATTTTCCTTCAAGAGATACTAGGACTAACTTTTCCGGGGGCTTGGCAGCGCTCCTCTGTTATGTAATGTAACTAAAGGCTGCTACACACCAACCTGAGACAAAAGAATGCGTACCGAAGGCGTCCCGACTTTTACGTCCGCTACGTCGCCTGCGTCGGTTACGCCGCCCGCCTACACCGCCCGCCTACACCGCCCGCCTACGAACACACCGCAAAGACTTCAGTCGACGAGTGTCAATAACTGTCCTTACCAGCAGGCAGCGGTAGTGTGTATTCGTCATTCAAAAGAGGCAACAGCCAATCAGAGTGATTTCTTTGGCCGACTTTCTTTGGCCGATTCAACATGTTGAATAGGCCGCGGGAGGTGTGAAAATGTGCCGTAAAGCAACGACGGTGTGGGACACACCAACCTGAGTAGGGCGCCGCGAATGCCCGACTGCCTCTGACGGCCTCTGACTCCCAAAATCGGGTAGGTGTGTCAGGGCCTTAACAGAGTGCCATAGAGACTGCAGCATGCCACAGCACTGTTACCTGGATGCTAATATCACCTAGCTGTGAAGGCAGAGCTTCATACATGTTTGAAGATAAGATGTGATCATAATCACACTGATGAGATGTTTGTGTGTGTGTGGCTGTGACGAAGATGGCTTTGTCACTGTGGACTGACGGCTTCGGGCTTTGTATATTGCACATGTCTTTTATTTTGAAAAGTGTTCCCCCTCCCCTTCTTTCTGTTACTCCTGATTATGTTCACCTGGTGCCCTGTGTTGTCTCCTCCCCCCTCACCTGTGTCTAATTGCTGATTAGTGGGTGTGTATTTAGGCTCTGTGTTTCCTGTTTGGTGGAGGCTGGTAGTGTGGGTGAGATCCTTGTGGCTGGTGACTGTGTTCACCTGGGCAGCAATATTGAGGTTGTGTATCCTGTACCACAGCGATGAATAAATGCCCACACCGGGTTATATTTGAATTCTCTGCTTCTGCCTCCTTGCTTGGTCGGGCCGCTCAACGGTCAGCTTCACATTTGGTGTCAGAAGTGGGATTGACCAAGTGAGGAGGTGAAAACGATGGAGGAACTAAGGGAGATGATGAAGTCATTCCTGCAGTATGAGACAGCCAGATTCAAGTGGGAGGAGTGTCGTTTGAGGAACATGGAGCAGCCGTTTTCACGGATACAGGAACAGGTTTCCCTGATGGAAGAGAAAGAGGAGCAGCTCAGGTTGCAGAGGCAGGAAGAGGAGATGCGCTTAGTGGAGGAGGCTTGTCTGATACACCTGCAGGAGAAGAAACTTGCAGAGGAGAAGAAAATTAAAGACGAGGAAGATGCTTTTCTAGCGGAGGAGGAGCGGGTGAAAATGGCCGAGGGGATCCGTCGGGAGAGAGAGCGCGTCATGCAGCAACAGCTGGAGGAGATAAGGGCTCAGGCTCATGCAGAGGCCCTGTCAGCCGCTCAGACTCAGGTGGAGAAGCAGGTGATGAAGACGCTGCAGGCGGAGAAGGCGGCGTACGTGGAGAACCTGACGGAGGCCATCGCGAAGGAGCGGGAGAAAGAGTTGAGGAAGAAAGGGAAGCTTCCTTCCGACTTCACGCCCTCCTCTGAGGAAACCATGCGGCACAAGGTGAAGCAGAAACACCGGGCGGAGTGGAGACACATGGAGGAGAGCAAAATGGCCAAGATCAATAAGTGTCGCAGGAATAAGGTACTGTTCTCTTTCGGGAGAGGAAGGAGGAAATGTGACGAAGATGGCTTCGTCACTGTGGACTGACGGCTTTGGGCTTTGTATATTGCACGTCTTTTATTTTGAAAAGTGTTCCCCCTCCCGTTCTTTCTGTTACTCCTGATTATGTTCACCTGGTGTCCTGTGTTGTCTCCTCCCCCCTCAGCTGTGTCTAATTGCTGATTAGTGGGTGTGTATTTAGGCTCTGTGTTTCCTGTTTGGTGAAGGCTGGTAGTGTGGGTGAGATCCTTGTGGCTGGTGACTGTGTTCACCTGGGCAGCAATATTGAGGCTGTGTATCCTGTACCACAGCGATGAATAAATGCCCACACCGGGTTATATTTGAATTCTCTGCCTCTGCCTCCTTGCTTGGTCGGGCCGCTCAACGGTCAGCTTCACAGTGGCCTAGCATTACTATACTTGTGGGGACCTAAATCTGTTTACACAGTCACGTGTGGGGACTCGCCTCCCTTATGGGGACAAAATGGAGGTCCCCATGAGGGGAATTGTTAATTTTAGGGTGAAGACTTGGTTAGGTTTAGGGTAAGGGTAAGGCATGTGTTGGTTATGGTTAAGGCAAGGCAATTTTATTTATATAGCACTTTTCAGCACGTGGCGATTCAAAGTGCTTGAATCGCCACGGATAGGATAAGTCTCCAGGAAATGCATTTAAGTCAATGTAATGTCCCCTGAAGTGATGTATACATGGTGTGTGTGTCATTAAATAAGTGTCACCCTTTAGAGCAGGGGTACTCAAATACAAATCTTAAAGGTCCAAAATAAATGTTTCAATAAGACAAAGGTCCGTTTATTACGGTCATTCAAACTTTTAAACAATTGCAACAAGATTCTTAACACGAGGTTGCAAAAACAAAAATAATCTATATGCAGCAGTTTTCATTGTTATTGTGTCTGTGCTTGATCCCTCAGAGTCGCAGTGTAAGAGCTGCACAGTTATGAATAAAGGCAGCTGCACCCTCTTTCGTTCAGCATTCCCATTATTGCTTTATAAATGTCTTGCCCCCTTGTGTGTCCACTGAGGTTCGTCAGGCCCAACACATCTTCAACAAACTCCCCCTTTGCCTCATCATAAAAACTCACAAACTCCAGCAACTGAGCATTGTCAGTGGTGTCAGTGGACTCACCCACAGCTAAGGAAATGCACTGTGCATTTTTTATTCCATCACAAAGCTGATTAATCAAATCACCAGCCAGTATTTATGTTTCTGTGGAATCTGAGAGGGGGATTTGCTTGATTTTACCTGTTATTTCCTCTTTTTGTTTGCCTTCAACATGGTCTCCATCACTTCAGTCATGCATTATTTTATACTTCAGTTATTATCCACTGGAATGCCCTTACCTACTGGCCTAGTTAAATCAAAGTGGTTAGGGTTATCCACTATTTAGAATCAAAATTCCTTTCATCAAACCAACAGCACAGCCATCGAAACAGAAAACCATTTCTCTACAACAGTATACCATTTATCATTGATATCACACAAAATGCAGATGCTAAGCAGTGTTTTACAAAACCGATCACACAATTCTCTAACTGAAGTTACAATTCTCTACAAACATCAAAAATATTTTGTGTAACTCATGTCTACAAAAAAAATAATCTTCTCACAGTGGATAACACTTACTCCTCATAAACTTAGACCATAGCTACACTAATTGACACTTGATGTGCAAAATATTAACACTTGTTATCAGACAATCACCCCATTGAAAAAGGTAACTGCATGGAATGTACTGTATACCTTACAGTAATGATGTTACTGTTAGCTGATATCAATGACTTTCCTATAGTAATTGTAATTAGTGAGAATCCTATAAAAGACCTCCCTCACTTCAGTAAGATGTTTGTGTGAACAAAATGGCTGATCGAGTAGGTAGAGGAGCTCTGAGAGGAAGAAGGAACCCTGTTGTTCAGCGAGGAAGAGGGAGGGCTGATGTTCAGAGAGGAAGAGGGAACCCTGTTGTTCAGAGAGGAAGAGGGAACCCTGTTGTTCAGAGAGGAAGAGGGAACCCTGTTGTTCACAGAGGAAGAGGGAGGGCTGATGTTCAGAGAGGAAGAGGGAACCCTGATGTTCACAGAGGAAGAGGGAGGGCTGATGTTCAGAGAGAAAGAGGGAACCCTGATGTTCACAGAGGAAGAGGGAGGGCTGTACGTATGCGTGGTGGAAGAGTTGAAAGGGGACCAATGCGAACAGTAGTTTCGGACAACACCCGTGCAACTATTGTGGACCACGTCATAAACCATGGCATGTCCCTCAGTGAGGCTGGCCAAAGGGTTCAGCCCAATATACGGAGATCAACAGTGGCATCCATTATTAGGATCTTCAGGCACGAAAATAGGTAAGCTACTGTAACCCTTTTTTACAGCACTTCATGCATTTCTATTTTTATGTAGGTTTCGATCACTGTTTTTATATTACAGTACATAACATTCTCAAATATGTATTGATAGAACTGAAAGAGCACCCCGCTCTGGTGGCAGAGGAAAGGCCTTTACTCCAGAACAAGAGTCTGCCATTGTTGATATGGTTGTGGCCAACAATGAAATCCGCTTAAGGGAGATTCAGGCCAGAATAATTGCAGACCAGGATGTCTTCAGTAACATTCCATCTATAAGTGTTGCAACCATTGACTGGGTGTTAAAGAGGCACCACCTCAGAATGAAACAGATCTATAAGGTTCCTTTTGAACGCAACTCTGACCGTGTGAAGGAGTTGACCTCAATCACAGTGATGGCTTGCCTATATTTTTAGTATGTCGGACTGCTTACAGTAATGTAAAACGGTCCTCTGTTTGTTTCATTTTCTTTAGCGAATGATGGAGCTGGAAGGCAATGCATTACCACATGTGTTTGTATATGTGGATGAAGCAGGCTTCAACCTCTCCAAAGTGAGGAGACGTGGGAGGAACCTTATTGGGCAAAGAGCAACAGTCTTTGTTCCAGGCCAAAGGGGAGGAAACATAACAATGTGTGCGGCTATCTCGACACAAGGCGTCCTTGCTCACATCCCTGTAATGGGAGCATATAACACGCAACGTGTCCTTGCGTTCCTGGATGCCCTGTATGACCGACTTGTGCCACCAGAAGAGAGGGATCAAGTGAAGTCGGTTCATTACATTGCATTTAGCTGACGCTTTTATCCAAAGCGACTTACAATAAGTGCGTTCGACCAACAAAATACAACTTGAAGAAAACAGAATCATATAAGTACATCAGGTTTCATAGAGCAAAAACATTTCAAGTGCTACTCAACTGGCTTTAGAAAAGCCAGTCCTTTATTAGTATAAAAGTGCTTCGTTAATAGTTCTATCGCTCGAAGTGGAGTCGAAAGAGATGAGTTTTCAGTTTGCGCCGGAAGATGTGCAAGCTATCTGCCGTCCTGATGTCAATGGGGAGCTCATTCCACCATCCTGGAGCCAGGACAGCAAACCCACGTGTTTTTCGCCGTTGGGAACTTGGGTCCCCCTCGCAGCGAGGGCGCAGCGAGTCGTTTGGCTGATGCAGAGCGTAGTGCACGCGCTGGGGTGTACGGTTTAACCATGTCCTGGATGTACGAAGGGCCAGATCCATTCGCAGCATGGTAAGCAAGTACCAGTGTCTTGAAGTGGATTCTAGCAGTTACCGGAAGCCAGTGAAGCGAGCGTAGGAGCGGAGTAGTGTGGGAACATTTTGGAAGGTTGAAGACCAGACGAGCCGCTGCATTCTGGATGAGCTGCAGAGGTCGGATGGCACATGCAGGTAGACCAGCCAGGAGGGAGTTGCAGTAGTCTAGGCGTGAGATGACGAGAGCCTGGACCAGAACCTGCGTCGCTTTCTGTGTCAGCTGGGGACGTATCCTCCTGATGTTTGTAAAGCGTGTATCTGCAGCAACGGGTTGTAGCAGCGATGTTTGCAGTGAAGGACAGGTTGTTATCTAGGGTCACACCCAGATTCCTTGCAGTCTGAGTCGGGGAAACAACTGAGGTGCCGATGTTGATTGTTAGGTCAAGAGTGGGACAATCTTTTCCCGGAAGGAAGAGCAGCTCAGTCTTGTCAAGGTTGAGTTTGAGGTGATGAGCAGACATCCACTGAGAGATGTCAGCTAGACAAGCAGAGATGCTTGCGACGACCTGGGTCTCTGAGCGGGGAAAGGACAGAATTAATTGGGTGTCATCAGCGTAGCAGTGGTAAGAAAAACCATGCGGGCTAATGACTGATCCGAGCGAGTTTGTGTACAGGGAGAAGAGGAGGGGACCAAGAACAGAGCCCTGAGGGACCCCTGTAGTTAATTGACAAGGGTCGGACTCAGACCCTCTCCAAGTCACCCTGTAGGTACGGTCTTTCAGGTATGAGGTGAGGAGGGAAAGTGCAGAGCCTGAAACTCCAAGTTTTTGGAGAGTGCGAAGGAGGATCTGATGATTCACCGTGTCGAATGCAGCAGACAGGTCCAACAGGATGATGACAGAGGAGAGGGATGCAGTTTTGGCAGTGTGCAGTTCCTCCGTGACAGCAATGAGAGCAGTTTCTGTGGACTGACCTGCCTTGAAACCAGACTGGTGCGGATCCAGAAGGTTGTTCTGATTGAGATAACAGGAGAGTTGTTTAAAGACAGCGCGTTCAAGTGATTTAGACAGGAACGGGAGGAGAGAGACAGGCCTGTAGTTTATAACATCAGACGGGTTGAGAGTGGGTTTCTTTAGGAGAGGGTTTACTCTTGCCTCCTTGAGACTGTTTGGAAAGTGACCAGAAGTTAGAGAAGTGTTGATGAAATGGGTGAGAAACGGTAGAATATCAGGAGCGATAGTCTGAAGGAGGTTTGAAGGGATAGGGTCCAGAGGACAGGTGGTAGGGCGGGCAGAGGTAATGAGGGTAAGAACCTCACTTGGAGAGAGAGGGGAAAAGGAGGTAAGTGTGTTGGTGGAAGGAGGGTCTGGTGACCCAGCGGTGAGTAAAGGTGAGTCAGAAAAAGAAGAGGTTCACGTGGTCATATGGGACAATGTGGCATTCCACCACTCTCGTGACGTGAGGGCATGGTTTGAGGCTCATCCACACATGGCCATGGAGTTCCTCCCTCCATACTCCCCATTTCTAAACCCCATTGAGGAGTTCTTCTCTGCCTGGAGATGGAAGGTTTATGACCATCATCCTCATGACAGAATGCCCCTGTTGGATGCAATGAATGCTGGCTGTCGGGACATCTCTGCGGAATCCTGTCAAGGGTGGTGTCGACACGCAAGGAGATATTTCCCACGCTGCCTTGCAAAGGAAGACATACGCTGTGACGTAGATGAGGCTATGTGGCCAGACAGACGCCAAAGAGCAGATCAGTAAAGCTATATAGATCTCATTCTCTGCTTTACTGCTGATTTACATCATTTACCCATGTTATTTTTTTTCCAGTGTATTGCTATTCATCTTTTGTTTCTGTTACGGTGCTCTTCTGAAAATGAGACAATAAAAACAATGACATAGTAACATACTGTTTTTCCTATATGTAAGTTTGTTTCTCCCAACTTGTCAGTTTTCCGTTCAGTTTCCAATATCGATAGCTTGAGGTTTGTGTATTGATGATTGTAGTCAGTATTTAGTGTGCCACTTAGTAATGACTGTTCAAATAGTCTTCTAATGAGCTGACAAATGTTTGTTTTTGGAGAAGGTATCTGGTTTTGGAAGGGGTATTTTTAGTTTTGAGTGCCTTAGAGCACTTTGCAAGAAATGTATATTGTTATGGTAGAATGTGTTATTATGGTGACCGGAGTTTCAGTTATGAAAACACATTTGTCTCATTAGAGGACAATTTGTTCTGTTTCGATCGACTTATTCTTTTTTGTGACCAGTATTTTCAGTTTTGTCATGTAAGTGCATTTTGCAAAAGATATTCAGAGTTATGGCAAGTGTGTTTCTGTTTAGATGGCTATGTTCTTGTTTTGAAGAAATGAATTTTGATTCTAAATAGTCGGTTTAGCAATTGAGAAAAACTGTAAATCAAAGTGGTTACTTTTTTTTGGCTGGGCAGTGTAGTTTTACACACCGTCTTATTTGACTTTCTCAGGACTTAAAACAGTTTTTTGGGGGCAGACCCCCTCAAAGAAAAAAATATATTTACACACGTAAGGTCCTCATCTTAATAGTTTTGTATGCTCATCCGTGAGCAGAGCATCAAGTTGACATGTCTATTACAGCTGAATGCGGCGATTACCATTTTGTTCAGCAAAACGCCTCACAAACGTATTAAGATCAACAGCTTTAGTGCGTTTTGATTCAATGCTGAGTACAGCCAAACTGACAGTCTCTTCTCTGTCAGACCGCAAATACCTCATCCCTTCAGTGCTTGGGTCCAAATGCTTCTCGTTTTGCGCCATCCCGTTCAAATGAAATCGCCGCCAATCATATGTCCACGCTCGCACCAGGACCGGGGGAGGGGTTACATGACGTGCATCTTGTGCTGCATTCACTTGCACTCGGACATTAGAGACTTTCTCTCATAAATGTCCGATGAGCCACAACTTTTCTTTCAAAACAAAGCTGTCAACTGGGGTGGCAGCTGGCAAGGCAAGGCCTATTTTTAGGGTGTCAGTTGGTGTCAATAGGTGAAACTAGGCTACTAGCTACAGTACAGATGGAACTAGATGAGCTGTTAACTCTCGCTCTGAATTTTTTTTTTAAACTCTCGCTCTGACTCAGACAGGTTGAAAGAGACGAGACACATTTTTACCACCCGTATTCCGTGAAGACCCGCCCTACTGTGCCTCTGATTCACAGATTGTTTGGGGGGGAAAAACGCTGACGGGATGCTGAATGTGATTGGACCGATGCGTTGACAGACACACACAGACAGTGGAACAGGACATGCAGAGCGCTGTTTGCAGTCTATGGACATAGCGGATCATTTTGACTCGTTGCGTTGTGGCGATGTCTCACAGATAACACAGATAATACAGATAATACATATGAAAAGTATAATTTGCTCAGAGTCCAGAGACAGTTGTGGTTCGGTCCGGATCCGGACCAGAGTCCGGACTTTGAGGATGCCTGCTTTAGAGTCAGTCAAGCCTGGTCAATTTAAATAAAACTGTTTTGGTGTGACTTGGTCCTTTCTCATTGTGCTTTGTGTTCTTTTTTAGTATGCAAACCGTTTTTTGTTCAAGCATAGGATAAAAGAGAAACTTTTGATGCAATTACTTGAGTATTCCCATGCTGATGATCCTAACTGTGGCCCATCTCCCCTGTGGTGACACCACACTGCATTGACTTTCAGCAGGATGTTACACATGATAAATGGAAACAATCAGCGCCAGATGTCATATGCTAAGGGTGTGACACTGAGCTTGACTGATCACATTAGACTTAACATCTCTAAAGCCAATATGGCGTGTTTCTGTGTCTAATGTTATTTACTTGGGTAGTCAGCGACTTAGGCCCCATTTACACGGGAACGCAAACGAAACGCAAACGAACCAAATTCGATATCAAAAAAGTATTCCGTTCACACGGACACGGCTCAATAAACGTGTTACTTCACACAAGACCGCTCGACCTGCTGGAGACGTTGTAGTACATATGCGGGGCCTGTAAGTGGCGCTGTACTTCCGCCACAAAATACACCAAAAGCAGCGAAGAAGACCCCCGAGCATTGTTGCCATGGTTGCCTGGTTGCCCTTCTGTTTATTCTCTGCGGTGAGTTTAGCAACATGTAGTTCTCCATGTCCACTTGTTGCTGATGGTTGTGGTAGAGGAGCTGTAGATTTTGCACTAACATCTCTATCATGGTCAGTAGCAGTATCTACTGTCATGCTACAGCAGTGAGCAGCAGAGGTGGGGAGAGGCGGGGCTATGGCTTCATCGTTATCAGGAAAATGATCGTATAGGACGTACACATGGAGCCGTTTGGCCCCCCAGAGCGTTCCGTCCGCAGATCTATCCACCTTGGGACCCGTTATCGTTTTAGGGGTCCGTTTCCACAGTTCCGTTACGGCCTCATGTGAACGAACGGGCTATAAGAAAAAGAAAAGTAGCAGATAGAACCCGTTTCGTTCCTGTGTGAACAGCACCTTCATCTGTGTTTGTCTTTTTTATTTCACAGCAGTTCTTGGAGAATGAAAGAGGCCCTGTGTTCAATATTTGCTCTTATTGATTTGGTGGCTCAGGGCCCCCTGTGTCCACATAGTGACTTTGTTAAAATCAGTGTCTTTTTTAAATGTCGCAAATAA